ACACACACACACACACACACACACACACACACACACACACACACACAGGTATTCTAACATTGTAAAATGAATGAGTGATTTTAAAATGAGTGCTCACCTGGAGTTACTACTACCCCATTTCCATTGACCACAGGCTGTTCCTCCTCCTCCTCTTCAGGAGGCTCAATCCCTCCTTTCTCCATGTTGCTAACTGACTTATTCCTCTTACGTTTTCCTTCGGCACTTGGTGTAGCTCCTGGAAGTACCTGGTCTGTTACATTTAACAATAAGGGAGCTGGTTCTGCAGGAGGCTTTGGGGTACCGTAGTAATTATCTGTAAATAACACAAAAAGGCCGGAATTCAGCACATTAGAAATATCTTTTACTTATCTTGGCATCATATCATATTCTAAGTTATTATCTATTTATTTCCTACTCTACAAAGTGACAGGAAACCTTAATGTGTACCAAAGATGATATTCTAAGATTTAGGGCCATAATAAATGTTCATTGCTTTACTTCCTCATTTTCACTCTCCCCTTCCGTGGCAGGTAAAAAACTTATCTTCCAGTTTTTCCTTGTTTTCTTCCAATATTGTATACAGCATCAAAAAATCTATGATTGTTTAACATACTTAATAATCTGTGCTGTTTAGAAAATAATCATAGTATCATTGAGAAACGGGAGGGTTTACAGAGCAATCCTTTTGGATTCTAGTTTTATTTTTTTTCTACATCAAATAATATTAGACCTCTCTAGAACTGCAGGCCATGTACATTTTCAAACCTTTCAAAGGTCACCGGCTATTTAATTTGCTTTGTCCAGCTTTCAACTCTGGGTCATGTTCATGTGAAAATTGAATGTTTTGGGATATTGCAGAGTGTTTTTCCTCTTTTATATTTTATCTAAATAATCACCAGCTTTCTGTATATTCCTACTTGGCATTTGGTAGTATGTGAACACAACTTTACATTTTCAACAGACAACATAACATTCAAGAGAAAATACACACCTGTTCTGATGGATTAAAAAATAAATAGGAGGCATCCTTTTCTTTTCTGGAATTTTAAATCTAATCTTCAAACCAATGCTTCTGTTTGACTAGAAGTAATATACCTCAGTCAATAGTTTATGTCACTAGAAAGTGACTGAAAACTATATAGGCTAATAATACCATAAATGGTCACAGCCCATTGACAGAGAGTTATTCACAGTTAGTAATTTTCATATGTGTAAAAAAGCTGCCATGCAAAATGGGCCAGAAATATCCATTGGGCTTCTTTGTATGAAGCAAGTTGAAAGCTCTAATGATGCCCAGCTGACTCAAAGTTTTCTTAACTCATTTCCCTTCAACAAAACCTTTATTGTTTTCCTAACATGGCAATGTGCTTAGCCCTGCTTAGGAAAGAAAGGTCAATAAGACATGCTGCTGTTTTCAAGTATTTTAAACTTTAAGTGGGGAAATAAGGCATTTCCAGAAAAAAAATATTATACAAGGGTTGGGATTAATTTTAAAGGAAAGTACATAAGCTCACTGGGATAACAGTCAATTAAGATAAGTCCTTGGAAGGATGTACCTTATCCAAAACGAAGAGAATAAACACAACAGGCAGTAGAGGAACATTGCAGATTAAGAAGAGATAATGTGAGAAAACACAGAAAAAGGTGGTAGAAATCATTTGGGCGTTCTCCAGTTTAACAATGTCATCTTTTAAGGCCTATTTTCTCTTTTCTTTCCCCCCTTCCTCTGGTTTAATTCCTCCCCTCCCCCCATGAAGAAAACATAAAAGAAAATTCTTATAAGTGTGCAAGCCAAATTAATTCCCACATGGCCACGTCCAGAACAAAGCCCTGTCTCTTATTCTCCATTCAGAGTCCATCACCTCTGTGACTGAAAATGCTTAGGATACTTCATCACTAGGAGTAGATTCCTAAGGAATCATGGTCAGTTAATGAGTTGATTGGAATTCTTAGGTCTTTCAAAGTTGGTTTTACAGTGCTACTATTGTACAAATTGTTCTTCTGGTTCTGATCACCTTAGTCCTCATCAGTTCACAAAAGTCTTCATTGGTTTCACTGCAACTATCTCCTTCATTATTTCTTTTGACATAGCAGTATTATGTTACATTCACACATTATAATTTATTCGTTAAGCCATTTATTAATTTATGGCACACCGTTAATTTTCAGTTCTTTGCCACTACACAAAGATGTACTATAAATATTTTTGTACATATGGATCATTTTCCTGTTGCTTTGATCTACCGGGGGATGCAGGGTTAGTAATGGTATTTCTGGGTCAAAGGGTATGCACAGTTTAATAACTTTGGTCATTATTCCAAATTACTGTCAATCTATGCCCCCTCATCATATAAAGTTGATTTTGTTGTACTCAAGGTTAAAACTTTACATTTACTCTCACTGAATTTAATTTTATCAAATTCAGTCCAATGTGCTATCCTATTGAAATCTTTTTTGGATTCTGATTGTGGAATATGCTGTGTTAGCTTCTTAAATTCACGTAAAGTAGCTTAGTGATTGCTTATTATCTTTCTCAATGACCTTGAGTTTCAAGACTAGCAATAATTCATTTACTTGAAAATTATTGTGAAATTGTCCCTCAGTCTTTTTTCCTTAGAATAAACAATCCTATTGTTTTTCTAGAACTTATTTTAGACATTTTATTCATCTTTAAGGCTGTTCTAATTTTTCTAAGATCATCCTTTAGTTATAAAGGCAACAAGGACAAAATATTTCTCCATTTTAGCTTATGCAGATTTTCAATTTCCCAAGACTTCCCTTGAGTGGACAATGATACCAAAGACCTATTTCCAAAGTTAACTGTCTGTTTTATGACTCTGTGTCCTTATAGTGTGATATGATGTCTGGAAAACTTTGACCATCTTAAGCATAGTGTTGTTATCTTCAATATGTAAAGAAGATATTTGAATTCATACTTCAACAAACATTTATTAAGACATAAACAAAAGAGTTCCTGCCTTCAGATAACTACCAACTTCTATTTGCTTTGAGTTTCTTTGCTAAACAACAGTAAAAATGTCTTTACTCTAGAAACATATGCATTGTTACTGAATTATTATGTTTAGAAGTAGCTTGGGCAGACAGTTGTATTTCTGTGGATGTGCAATAATGTGTGTAAGCTTTATATAAATTAGCTCCAGATCATTTCACGTTGACTTCAAGTGGAGATGGATTTTAGAGAGGTAACATACTTATCCTCAAGATTCCTCACAGATTAAGGTCTTGACCCCTATTCCTCCCCAATAGTCTCACAGTGCTTTTATTTTCATTTTGGTAAGCAGAAGGAATCAATTTTGGATAATGGCTTAGTAGAACAGAGATGATTGCCTATCAGGCACTCTGGGGAAGTACATATAGCAAAACCCATCACTGGGATCCCAAAATAACTTGAAAATATGCCCTTGTATTGGAAACAGTATATGGAGAAATCAAGGTTGCTGAGAATTTTATAATTTGTTTTTACAGTTTTATAAACGGAACAAATGCTTAGTTAGATACTTGGCATTCGCAAAGGCACCTGTCGAGTTAGACTGTGACATTAAATAGAGAGAAGAGATTCATAGCTCCAGACCCAATCATAATTAATTATGTTAGAAAACCTGCCAGATCATAAGTAAACAGTCATTTTCACCCAAGTCAGAGGTTTCATTTATGGATATAACCCAATGAATCATGGAAAGATTTGAAATTTAATTTTGCAAGCAGGTCTTCTTAGAGGTATATGTCTATTAAAAATAACATATAAGAGAAAGTGATGAGTCATAATTGTGATTAAAAAACTCTCTCATTTAAATTATTTATCTGCATCCTACCCAAAAATAGGCAACAAAAGTATTGATTTAAGACTATTTATAAGGGGCAGCTAGGTGGCTCAGTGGTTACAGCAGCGTCACTGGATTCAGGAGGACCTGAGTTCAAATCCGGCCTCATACACATAACACTTACTAGCTGAGTGACCCTGGGCAAGTCACTTAACCCCATTGTCTAGCTAAAAAAACTTATATCATCAAGTTCATTCAAATCAACTTTCTAACAACATTTTCTTGAATGATATTAAGGCTGAAATGAGGTCCTCCAGAATGTACCCCTTTCTTAAACATGTCATATGCCATAAGCACCCTTAAAGCAAAATGCTCACAATTTGTCCTTCAAAGTTAATGTCTTTATGTTGTCTGTTTTCCTGAAAATAGTTCCTCTTTTATTTCTCAGATACAAGAGAGCAATCACTATTAGATTAAGTATTGATAATGGCACATAGTAGGCACTTAAAATATTGATTAATTAATTGAATTGGCATACTTTCCCAATAGGTAAGGGCCATAATTCCATGTTATCTAGTTCTTATTTCACATCATTAGGTGAAAACTTATGAGGATGTTATTTTCACAATTCTGATAAAGTATATGTCTTCTTTTAGCCCAGATACATAAAACCTGTACTTTTCTGTTGCAAGTCCTATTTTTCCACAGGTTCAATAGCCACCTCTCCCACAACTCCTCCATCCCTCAGCCATATTATTTTAAACTAACAGGACATTTTGTTGAGTTTCTACAGTAGTTTTCACAATAGAGTACAGTTTGAATTCCATCATATCCAACTGTCCCTCAGTACTCTTCAATACCCTCAAGGAAACCATCAAGATAGTTTAATTTGGCTGACATTTTCTTAGATGTGTTTGCAAGTACTCACTGAGTTCCCTGTAGTCAATCAAATTTAGTATTCATTTATTCAAGCACTATTTGAAGCAAGCCAAGTTGGACAGGCATGCCAGCAATCTTTGTGTGCTAAGTAAAATGGTGTCTGCAGACTGACCTGCATAGTTGGTATGTTCACTTGGAGTTAAATAATTTTCCTGTAGTTGCCTCTTCCCTTTAGGCATTGTCAGAATAGATCAGAACACTTCCTACATGCTCTAAATAGAGTACATGAAGAAGTTTTGCAGAGAAACCCTAAAGTAACTGGAGAGGAGCCACAAAGGATGTGTTTGATGCCAATAGGCAATGATTTCAAAAGGAAGCATTTAAGAATTTAATAAGTTTAATTGGCTAGCTTTTTGAGTGTCCCTTTATACATTTTTTCCTATTTAATAATGCTGGAAACTTCCTTTCTAATAGTGAAGATTTTAGAGTAAAGTACAAATAGCAAAGTGATTCTTTTTTCCAAGGAACCCAAACTGAACCACTTTCCTTCAGATTACTGAAAAGTATATAATATAAGGTGAGAGTTTTTTTTTCAATTTGAATTTCAGTTACGCTCTGTGGTGGTATCAACATCACTAATATTACTCCAATA